ACATATAGCCAAAACCTCTACAATGTCAGTTCAAATCGAATGTAATGTCAGCAGGAGGCGTTCCAAAAGTCAACCGCCAAAAAGGTGCCGCACGTAAACAACATTAAATTGGCGCCAGAAAAACACATAATGTCGCATTTATTTTTTTCCTCATTTTTTCCAAATAGCAATTTTGTGTATGCTAGTTTTTCCATTATTGTTGGTGGAGAATTATGTATGTATGTTTGTGCCATTATTTTCCATTTCCAGTAAGTAATTGCAAAATGCCAAACGAAACGAAACATTTAAACTCCTACTTCCATTTACAGTTGCTAACGGAGAGAACATAATTGGAGAAGGCTTAGGAGCCATAGTTATGTCTATACATACCATACCATACATAAATATGTATGTGTACATATGTGCATATTTGAGATTGCACGAAATGTTATGTGTCGTGCAGTTAATGGCAATTTCACTGGATTTTAATGATTCCTCAAAACAACAACACAACACTTTTATGGCTCCTTCCTTGGATGATGAAGTTTGCAATCAATATTTTTTGAAATACAACAAAAAAGTAAAGGAACATCAGCCGCCTTCTTCACTGCCATCAATCGAACTGTTCTCATCGAACATTGTTTGGCGTATGACAGTACATAATAAATTACTTTGGCCTAATTTCTTCTTCTACCATTTGTTTTCAGCTGTAAAATGTGATGATCTGCTGTTTGATTAGTTCCAATTTCATTTTTTTAGATTGCATTCCATGGAAAATAAAAATCTAACAAAATGAGATAGGCGAATAGTGAACGAAAGAGAGGAGAGGGGGGAGGTATTTACTTTAGTATTTAATGTTTGCCCAATGATGATTTTTCAGTTCATTCCGGGTTAATCCGTTTCAATGATACTCCCATCCACTGGTGTTGTTGCGTAGAGCCTCTTCTAATTTTTTTTTTCAAAACTATTTAATGACATGACATATTGCGTGCATTACAACCGTTTTTTAAACTGATAATTTGTGTTGATGTGTTTTTTTATTTTAAATTTTATTTCCCAATTGTCGACATATTATTGGCCCCTCTCTTCCCCATAGCCTCAATGGATGATGTCAAATGTTTTTTTGGGGTGTCGTCACATTGCCACCACCAGTAAAAATGATGAGGATGACGATGATGCTGAAACAAATTCTTGTTAATTACAAACGATAAGATGTAGTTTTGTGTAATTAATTAGAATTATCTCTCTATTTTTTTTGAACTTAATTTTAAATGATTATTTTTTTGAACTTGTCGTAAGAGGGGAAGCATTGTTTTTTTTTAATAATAAATCATTGTTTTATTTTTCCTGAAAACATCCATGATCACATATTCTTTTTTAAAACAATATTTGTATATCATCAGCAAAAGCAAACGACATACAATTCCTACTATTAACACAACCGAAAATATCACCAACATACATTACGAACAACAGGGGGGCCCAGAACAGATCCTTGAGGCACACCACTACTCACAGACAACATATTCGAAACACAATTTTTGCAACTTACGTATTGCTTTCTACCAAACAATTTATTCTGTCAAATGCCTTTTCAAGGTCCAGCGAGACACAACAACCATTCCCACCAACTGACTTTCTTATATTGTCAGTTAAACTAACAAGTAGGGACGTGGTGCCATAAACCCATTTTGACCATCATGGAATAATGATCGCTGGTTAACATACTCAAGAATTTGCTCTTTCAAAACATGCTCAACCATTTTAGAGAGTATTGGCATTATCGATATCGGCCTATACTCTCTTACATCATTACTTTTACGTATAGGCACAATTTTCGCTATCTTCCAAACCTCAGGAAAAACAGACACTGTTATCATGGTATTTACAACATGCAACAAATGACGTCTCCCTAAAGGAAACACAAGTTTCAGAAACTTATGCTGAAAACCATTATACCCTACAGCTTTAGACTTAATCTTACTAAACGCATCTACAATTTCCGTAAAATCAACATTACGAAACGAAGAACAATCATAAACACCCTCAGGAACACACAGATTGTGTAGACACAAAATCAAAATTCAGTCGATCAACATCTACACCCATCATCCACTTCATTGTCATTCTCTTTTAATTTCACTCTTACTCAAATCACCCATAAATCTTTTGTGGTTTTATTAGCAAACATATCTCTGTGGGCTACGGCTTTTAAGTCTCCTAATAACCTTCTTTGCTCTATTACGCAAAAATAATATTCTTTTTTCATTAATTTGAAATTTCATATTTTATAAAAATTAAAAAACAAAACTTACCATTTAATTTGAAAATCATGAATCAATTTTAGGCTTGAACTTATTTTCTTCATTCCAAATCTTGTTCTTTTGATTAATCAATTGATGATCTGAAATAAAAATAAAACATTATTTTGTGCCTTTCAAAAAAAACAACAACATGTGCCAATTTCAATCATGTAGCAATTTTAATTGACACACAAATTATTACAACAATAAAAACGATAACAATGTAATGAATCATATATATATTTTTTTCATATGGTAAAGGTCAATTAGTGGCAAAAAGAGGTCCCACTCTCTTACATTTCCAAAATAGTTTGGCCTAGTTTTTGTTTTTGTGATTATTGAGTAATCAAGAATCATAATTCATGGTTAATTTAATTATGTTTAAAATTGATTAAGAGATCATAAATAAAAAAAACGAAGATGAAAAGGTGCGGTCGCGAATATGAAACTAAAAAAGAAATCGAAAATTTAAAAGAATCAAAGGAAATGGACACAAATAAAATTTTGAAAAAAATGAATAATTTAAATAATGATTTAATAATTTAAAAGTTAAATTAAAAAAAAACATTATGCAAACCCCAAAGAAGTTCTTTTATGAAAGGCAAAATTAAACCACAAAATCAAAATTTTCCCATCAAAAAATAAATATTTTAATATTGGATTTTTCGGGGGAAATTATAATTATATTAAATACATAAACATTAAGAAAAACCCTAAAGAAGTTTTTTTATGAAAAGCAAAATTACCCCACAAAATCAAAAATGTTCCTACCAAATTTTAATACAGTAGATATCGGATATAAGAAACTCAAAAAAAAAAGCCGGAGATTTCTTTCTTATATGGGTTTTTCTTTATATGTGGAATCGGACATGAGAAAGTATAACCTCGGTTTTTTTGAAAATCTTTCTTATATGAGATGTGCTTATATCCGATATCTACTGTATTGGATTTTATGGGGGGAAATTCCTGATTTTCTTAAAGACTATTGCCAATAGTAAAAAAATTTTATTATACAAAATACATTTTGCAATGGCTTTCATTTTTGAATTTCAATTTTCTCATATTTCAATTACGACAATTTTAGGTTTTTTTAATTTGTTAAGGAGTTTTAAAATTACCTGATTTTTCATCACATTGAATTTTTTAAAAAGATTACATTTTTTACAATTTTTTAAGCAGATTGTAATTATTATTAATTTTCTTTAATTCCAATTTCTTTTCGAAATAAATTTCACTTATTTTTTAATTTTCAATTTCACTTCAACTTCTTTTTAAAATGACCAGCTGATTTTTCATCACATTGAATTTTTCTAAGATTACTTTATTTACAATTTATTAAGCAGATTGTAATTATTATTTTTTTTTCTTTGCTACCAATTTCTTTTTGAAATTAATTTTCTAAAGACGGTTTCAATGTTTGAAAATTTGTTAAGCAGCTTTTAATGATTTTTTCATAATTAATTTCAATGGCTTAATTTGTTGTGTAATGCTGCTAATTGAAAAAAGAAAATCATTTCAAAAATTAATTTCAATTTCTTTTTCCGAAGATGACTTGCTGATTTTTTCAAATACGCCTTAAAAATCCCATGGTTAATTAAGTTAATAATAAAAAAACGAGACCTTCAAACTTCCAAAATAAGTTATTTTCCAATCGTAAGGCAAGCCTTCCCAACAATTGACAACAAAAACAACAACAAGAAAAATCAATTTTCCAATTATAAAAAAACGCATCATAAATCATTCTTCATCGAAGATGGCTGGCTAGCCATAAAAACGAAAACAAAAACGTCACTGATTGTAGCACCTTCTTTCTTTCTTCCTCAGCTATCAGCTTCTTCTTCTTCACCGTTTTACCTTGAGTTTTGTAAATTAATGTAAAATGGAAAAAATGTTTTCTTATCTTGATTTTCTGTTTTTTTTTTACGAGTTGTACGTTTTGGGAAAAATCACACAACAATTAATAACTATTTTTCCCAAGCAACAACAACAACTATGCACAACTTCCCTCCATTGTAAAATAACGGGAGGGAAAAGTGAAAAGCAAACAAAACCCAGAATTTTTTTTGAAAACGAATAGAAAAATTCTTATGGCACATATTTGAAGCGTATGTTGCAACATCATTACAACAATTACAAGTTATTGTTGTTGTCATTATTTGTTACCTGGATTGAGGACAACAATGCCTTTCCAGGTACATGCTGCACTTCAGGTAGAGATAAAAATCACAAGAGACAACAATAAGGATTAGAAACAAAGATAAATATACCAACTAGGCTGACGTTGTATTTGTGGTGGTGGTGAAATCCTTGCACGTACTATTTGTACAATAATATGCATCATAAATTTAGGGGAGGATAATATCCTTACAATGCCATAGAGAGAGAGAGACGGGGAGGGAGAGAGACCAAACACAAATACACCACATGTTTAGGGGATGAAGATATAAAGCCGGCTTGCTGGCAGATTAGACTAGTCATTTTAGAAGCGACTTGCAAACGTGATACATCGATCCTAGATCGTTAGTTAAAAAAAACAATTGTTTTCTAAAAATAAATAAAAAAACAGTATTAAAAAATACATTAAATAGGTACAGCTGAACACAAACAACAAAAACTTACCAAAAACAGCCATACTAACGAAAAAATCCCGCTTTTTTCTCAATTACAGCTTGGAATACCATAAGCAACTGATCAGCGTTTAAAGGACAACAGCCGCAACAACCATGGGAGAACAAGAAGAAAAAGAGATCCCCCAGAGTGAAAATACCACACAACAAGAAGTGGCCGAGGAGCCCAAAGAAACCGATAAAATGCTCGAGAAAAAGGACGAAAAATCTTCTGGCGAAGAAACAAAAAGTAAAAATGGTTCCAAACCAACAACACCCACGGCCACAGACAAAACAGAAAAATCCGCAGCGTCCTCACCGACTACGGAAAAGAAAAAAGAAGAAATCATTGATATACCCGAAGACAATGCTCAAGAGGATGCCAACAAAACTAACGGTACTGGCACTGGAGCCGGCGACACAGATGCTGAACGTAAAATGTCCGGTGAAGAACGTGAAGTTAAACCCAAGAAAATACCAATTGGCGGCTTGAAATTACCAGGATTTTTTGTTAAAAATAAACCCAAAGGTGAGGGGGATGGTGCCGAGGGTGAGCTTTTGGAAAAAGAACCCAAAGATGAAGGAGAACAACAAAAAGATGAAAAATCCGCCGCGAAGAAAGATGAAAAACCGACCAAGAATTTTGGTGAACGTTTGCGCAGCTTTTTTGTACGCAAACCGGCAGCAGAGAAACAGGCCAAGCTACAGGCCGATGCTGATAATAAGAGTGGTAAGTAGTGGAACATTTTCCTCACAAAAAATAAGGTTCAGAAACAGATGCTTTGATTCAAAACAAATTGAAAATATTGTTGATCAAAAATAGATCTCGGATCGTTGAAAAATTAAAAAATAATCCGAAATCTAATCACAAGTCCAAACAACACTTCATTCTTATTTGTTTTCAATCTAAATTGTTCAATTTCTTTTTGCTATTCTAAATATAATTTTTTTCTCTTCCTCCATTACAGAAGCCACAGCCGAAGCTGCTGCTGCCGATGATGCTGTCGAAGGTGGCGATAATCCCCCGAAAAAACGTGGCCTCTTGAATGCCATTAAACTGCCCATTGCCAATATGGTGCCGAAGAAAAAATCCGATGATGATGTTGAACTGGGTATGGGCAAAGCCGGTTTGGCATCAATGGAAACTTTAGATGATTCGCTAAAAGATCAAGATGTCGTCGATAAGGCGGCGACCAAAAACGGCAACGATGATGTGGGTAAATTAAAAAAATCCGGAAGTGGTGAAATAAAGCAGGCCTCCAGTGATGAAAAATCACCCGACAATGATCACGATGAACAGCCCATTTCGTTTTGTCAACGTTTGCGTTCATATAAATGTTCCGTGGATGATGCTCTAATAGCATTGGGTATTCTACTGTTTGTCTTGCTGATTGCCGTCATTGGTTATGTCCTGTCGCATGAGGGTCAGACATCACCACCCATTAGGGAGGGACGTTTTATGGATGCCGTCACCGGTTGTGGTATGGTTGAGGGTCTAAAGGAAGATGGTGCTTTTGCATTCCGTGGCATTCCCTATGCCTTACCACCAGTGGGTGAGAGACGTTGGCGTCCGGCCCAAACAATTGAATCCATAGAAGGCTGTTGGAATGGTACCCTAAAGACCCACAACTCCAGTGAAGTGTGTACCCAAATTCTTGGCAATGGCACCGTGGTGGGTGATGAAGATTGTTTGTATTTGGATGTGGTAACACCTCATGTACGTTATGAAAACCCCTTACCTGTGGTGGTTATGATTGGCGCCGAAACATTAATGGGCCCCTCGCCCGGCATCTTAAGGCCCACAGCCCGTTTTTCACGTTCCCATGATGTGATTTTTGTACGACCCAATTTCCGTTTGGGACCATTCGGTTTCCTTGCTCTCGACATGTTAACCAAGGACACATATCCTCACACCTCGGGAAATTATGCTTTGTCCGACATCATTGCTGCCCTCAACTGGATTCAGTTGAATATTCACCATTTTGGTGGTGATCGGAAATCGGTTACACTCTTGGGTCACCGCGCTGGTGCCACTTTGGTTTCCGCCTTAATTACATCCAAAAAAGCCGAAGGTCTTTTCACCCGTGCCTGGATTTCATCTGCCTCAGCCATTTTGCCCGGCAAGCCGTTAGCGGAATCTGAAAAACGTAACGAAGAATTGGTACAAGCTTTGGATTGTAAAGATGTTGACTGTATGCGTACCGTTGAAGCTGAGAAATTGTGGGATGCCATACCCGACACCTGGCTACATTTCCCCGCTGATATCCCAGCTGCCGAGGAGAATACCACAGCACATCATGAGTGGTTGGTTTTGGATGGTGACATCTTAAAGGAACACCCTGCCGAAAGCTGGAAGAAGGAACATGTTGGCAAGCCCCTCTTGGTTATGGGTACCACTGCTCATGAATCGCACACCGATTCATTGCGTAAACGTTATGGCAACTGGACTGTGGATGAGATTCGTTCATTTTTGGATAATTCAAAAATCGGAGCATTGAATTTGACAGAGGAAGCTATTCAACGTTATAATGCCACAAATTATCGTGCTTTGGTAGCAATGATCAGTGATATTCGCACGGTTTGTCCATTGCTGATAAACGCCCGTCTACAGCCCTCTGTGCCATTCTATGTGGTCAGCCAGGGTGAGGGTGAAGAACAATTGGCCACCGTTGATGCTGATATTCAGGCAATTTTGGGACGCTACGAACCACACACCGTCGAGCAACGACGATTTGTTTCATCCATGCAACAGCTGTTCTACTACTATGTCGCCCATGGCAATGTACCATCATATGATCCACGACGAAGAGTAATTGATGTTGGTCAAGACCCATTGTCAAAGGAAGATCATGACAATTGTAATTTCTGGATATCGAATGATATTGTACCGCGTTATGCTCGTGTTGATTAAATCGGCAAACAAACAATGCTAAAAAACACACACCTCCAAAGATCTGAGAAATTGAAGAAATGAAATGAAAAAGAAAAGAAAAAAAGGAGGCGGCAGCTGGCCCAAAACGAAACCAACATGACTGATGTGTATTTTTTATTTTTTTGACTGATTTTATTGATATATACATACATTCATATGGAACCAACAAATACCCAACACTTTATAGGCCACAAAGTATTGCCACTCCTTCTACTGCAGTGGTTATTTTTATTGCGCCTCTATGAATCTCCTACTTCCTTTTCTAATTGTTTTGCTGCTTTTTTCTGAGTGAGGATATGATATTTGGTTTACGGAAATGGGCGCCAACACAAGAATAAGAAGAAGAAGCATCAATTGCAAATTGCTCATTATTTTCCCGCCCTCTCTCATTAGAAAGCACTCTCACAAAACAGCTGATTTTTGATATTCTCTTCTTCTTCGTCGTCACATGAATTGGAAACAACAACACAAATAAACAATTTTTGTCCTTAGTTTAAGTAAAAAACAAACAATTTAGCATTTAAAAAAATTTTGTACATTTTTTAAAAAATAAGTTTTTAATTTTATACATACATATATAAATATTATTATTATTATTAATATTATTTTTTTCATTTTTTTATATTAAACAAAACAAAAAATTATATATATTATATTAATAAGTTATGAACTAAAAACAAAACAAATTTATATAAAAAAATATTATAAAAAATTAATAACTTATGCAAAATTTATATATGAACAAAAACGAGAACAACAACGTACATGATGCAAAACAACAACACATACATATTTTTATGTAATTTATAAAACAAAAATACCAACAACAACAAACAAACAATGATTATACAATACAATACACCCAATAAAAGAAAACAACAAAAACATACTTTAAAAGTATATATAACAAATGTTTTTTTTTCTTCTATAAAATGGTCAAATTAGAAAAATTAAATTTTGGCCACACTTTGTTTTTGGGATTTGGATTTATTACAGAAAAGATCAATTATTTTTTTAACATATGCGGGAATACAAGGACCTTTAAATTCATATTGGGATTAAGTGAAATATGCCGATGATCCTAAACAGGATATTTGATATTTTATTGGGAACGGTTTAAATACTGATGAAAAACCTAAGATATTAAACAAAAATGTCTAGAATAAAAAAAAGTATTGTAGAATTTTTAATTCTTCCGATAGTTTCGAGTCTAAAGAAATTGGATATGAGAAATGTTTGAAAGTCTTTTATAAGGTGACAATAATATGGGTGAAATAAAACAACGAGCAATGAAAAATCTACCTATGCCTATTTCGTTTTGTCTACTTCCTTACTTTCATATAAATGTTCTGTGGATGAAACTCTAAAAACTTTGGTTATTCTATTGTTTGTCTTGTCGATTGCCATCATTGGCTATATCCCAACACATGAGCGTCCAAAATCAACACATATATGCGAAGGACTTTTCATGGTTGCCATTACCAGTTGTGGCAATGACTTGTGATTCCTAAGCGTCCAGCCCAAACACTTGAAGATTGTTAATATGGTATATTGAAGGCCCACAATACCAATGAAGTGTGTACCCAAATTCTTGGGTTCGTAATAAACTCCTAGAATCGAAAATGAACACTAATCGGACTTCACACTTATTTCCTTATATTGAATTCTACAAAATATGGATGAAGTATAAATTAAAATTGAAAAATTTTGGTCCACATGGGCCCAGATATAGATCGTATATAAGGGTCCCCTCGAATGTTTGGTATTTTGAGGACTTTTAAAACATTTTTTTTTTTCAACTGGATTAGTTGTAAAATAATAGTTTGGATATGACTCATATATAGCGGAATTTGTCATTCAATTTTTCATTCAAATATTAATTTTTTATAGCGTAATTTTTCATTCAAATTGGCGGTTATTTGATATTTTCTATTCAGGTTACTTCGCCCTCATTATCGATTCTATGCGTTAATGCGTCATGGAATTATCTGTATAAAGGGATAAAGCATTTATTCAATTTAGAAGAGGAAGAAGAAAAACAAACACACACAATTCAAGGTAAACAATTTTTGAGACTGTTGTTATATATAAAAAATAAAAACATTTAAAATACAAAATAAAAACATATAATAAAAATAATATATAAGTAATATAAAAAACAACACACGCAATTTGTTCTAAAAAATTATACAAATTTTCTTTTAGTTATTGAAATTACAAAAAATAAAAAAAATAATTCATGAAAACAAAAATAAAACGATATATGAGTAGACAAAATATTTGGGGCCAGTACTTCAAAAAACAAAATGTTTCTTTTTTTTGTTTTTTTTTTTTTTTTGTTTTGAAAAAAATCTACACAGCAATTTTTTAATAGCTTTTTTGATATTCTTTAAAACCACGAAAACAAAAGACAGCAACGTTAATAAGTAAATAATAAATACTACAACAACTTTGGATATGTGTTAACATTTTTTCATAATAAAAAAATATTACAAAAAAAAAAAATAAAATAGTATTTTTTATTGGAAAAAATTCAAAACAGGGTAAGTAAAAGTTCTCTCACTATTTCGTATTTAAAAACAAACACAACGTATAAAACAGGAGATTGTAATTTAATATAATGGACATGTTTAAAAAAAATTATATAAATTGAAATTTATAACTGGAAGATTGTAAAAAAATTAAAACCACGATATAAAACAAAATAAGCAAAAAAATACAACAACATTTTTAATTTGGGTATGTGTAAACATATTTTTTTTATAATAAATAAAAAAATAAAATAGTATTTTTTTATTGAAAAAAAAAATAAAATAAAAACACAGTAAGTAAAAGTGCCCTCCCTACTTGGTATTAAAAAAAACAAAGATTTTTTAAATTATTTTTAATAAACATTTTTATATTTTAATAATTGCCATTTTTTTAAATTTTTATTGCCTAATATCATAATGAAAAAAAATATTGCCACTTTATAATATTGCGCAAAAATATGTATTTAAAATTTGTTGCTACCTACTTAACCTAAAAAAACTTACATATGTACTATTATTCAAAATTTGTACTATTGTATTTCAATATACATTATCAAAACATGTATATTACATCCTTATTATTTTCGTAAATTCTCGACTAATCTCACTTTCTTTATGCCTAAGCCTAAAATTCGATATAATTATTGAACACTTCCCGTCTTATTTAATTTATATATAAAACATTTCGATTTATTTAATGCCGCCAAATATGTAAAATCTTCATTTACATAAATCGGGCAGAGATCATAGATTACTTTGGTCACAGGATATGATTGTATTGTCAATTGATTTGACGAATTCGACGTAGTATCGAATAGAGATAGTAGTTTTTGGTCTTGGATATATGCAGCCACAATGGTATTGTTATTGAAATTAATTTGTGTAGATCTAGACATAATGGAACTCGATGTTTTGGCATAAAAAACATATACTATTTGCAGTGAAGGCGGATTATCGCCATGTCTTAGCAAATTTCCCATAATATGACGCATATGCGGTTGATTGAGTGACGAACCCAATTGTAGGAGAATTTGTTGTGTTTCTTTATTATAATCTATCGTTATTATATTTTCTTGCGACATTAAACATGTGGCCTGGACACCACTTGCATGGGTATGTTGAATTTCATAGAACCATAACGAAGATTTTTGACAAATTAAAAATCCTCCACTGGGAAACTGACGGCTTTCCTTTACAATTTCGATTTGTATAACAGGTGAGGTATCTCCACTGAGTTTATGTTCCTGACGATAATTGCCCGGATTTCGTATATCATAGACATAAATACAGCCCTGATGGGAACCCAAAAATAGTTCATTTTCATTACCATGACAAGATGAGATGGCACATGATAAAATCGTCATTTTTCCAGGTTTAAATACGGTCACAGCCTGGTAATTACGTAAATCGAACAGCTTCGCGGAACGTTCCTTGCTGGCAACAGCAATTAAATTTTGCTCTTCGGACAACGATAAATCGCATACCATTTTCTGGGAGGTATACAAATAATTGGACGATTCAAAACTGGGGGCATTCATAAGCCGGAGGCCATAGCCAGGAAAGAAACCTTTTTGGGATACAATTAATTTGGTTTGTTTATCAGCATACTTCATGACCCGACAACAGGGTTTACGTGATATGGCAATTTTTCTATCTAAAACTAAGCCATAACTGTTATCGTTAGTGGCAGAGGTCTCATTTATGTTGTAAATATTTTCCCCACTATCCTTATGGGTCACACTTTGTTTTATTGCTGCATTATCAGTCTCTAATTTATGCATTGTTTGCATCAAGTCTGCATAGAACACTTTCATAGAATCCAATTCAAATTCTAAAATTTGTGTTCGAATCCTTTCCTGTTTCAATTGTTCACGTATCCGTTCCTCATCGCTACGATCGATGACCTTTAGACGTTTGGCATACAGATAACGTATGTGTCTTTGGCGAGCCTTGGTCTTACATTCAGGACATGCCGCCTCTTTTAGCCGTATGCGTATACATGATTCACCAAAGAAGTGTCCACATTTCAGCGAACACAAACGATGTTCACCTGACATCTCACAATTTTGCATACACAGTGAACACTCCAGGTCATTATCTTCCTCCGCCTTCTCGTCGCCCTCCTCCTCCTCGCCATTGTCTCTTTTCATTTTATGTGTTAAACGGGCCCGTTGCTTCCGGCGATTAAGTAAAGGCAATTCCAGTTTTTCATTTGTTTCATAGCCACTGCCATTTGTTGCCTCCAAAAATGCAGAACTTCCCCTTGTGTTCTCTTCATCTGAGCTATGGGCACTGCTGCTACTACTAGTATCACTGCAGGATGTATCCCTTTCCGAAGAGGCATCTAGACAAAATTGAAGGTATTAATATCTGAAATTGAAGAAATTGAAGATACCACCTGTATTCCCTTACCTGATTCAAAACCCGATAACGAATTACTGCTACTTGGACTGGATATAGATTCAGTTTCGGTACTAGAATCAGAATCCATACTGGAATTGTCGCTATTGGCAGTGTATGGCATGCTTCGTGACAAAAATGTGCCACCTTCTTTGACAGTATCACTTTGTGCGAGATAAATGCTACTGGAAATGCTTATCTACTAGTAGTTATTGACAAACTTATAAACGTTACTCCTACGAAGTAAAGACGAGGAGAACGCTCGTTATGAGAAGGGAGGAAATAAGACAAAGTCTTTTAGGTTTTGGAACGGAGCTAAAATAAAAACGACGACTGAAAAAATTGAAAAACGTTCCACCTGCTAACGAATGGGAGGAGAAGACAAAATGGCCGATAAAGATGAACTCAAAATGGTATAACCGAAAGTTTACGAATGAGGTGGGATAGAGACTAAACGGAAACCGTGTTGTTTACGAATGAGGTTTAGGCAAATTATGATTAGGGATAAGTAAATCGACTTTCGATTAATCGACTTTTTTGTATTGAATAGTCTAATGCCATGTACAGACGAGCGTTGTTCCCTCTCTCATTCGTGGTTCGACTCTTAATTATGAAGTAATTACATAGTTCAAAGGAACTACATTAAGGAACTAGTTCCTTTTTAAAAAAGAAACGAGAATGATCGATCCGCTACGCGAACTAGATTGCCCAACTCTAAATAAGACAAAATCAAAAACAAACAAACAAAATGCAATCATCTTTCGTGCATTGTGATGGTACTTCCTCGGCTCGGAAGGGCTCTTATTCGACGCAAACTCTTTTTCACACTGTCACGTACCTCTTCGGATCTGTCATCATCACATCATTAAATTTGACAACCGTTCGAACGTACTTTTGCAATAGAGGAAATTTGCATGCATAAAGATATATCAGTAACATAGGGTGATGCAGATAAAATTAAAACAATTACAGGGTGGAAAACATAGTAGCTATCAGAACCGGATAAAAGAAGAATATATTGAAAGAGTTTTCAAATTATATTCTACTTGATTTTAGAAATGGTTTATGAATTGGGAAATTAGAATCATTTAAATGACCTTGCGTGGCGTTGAAGCAACGATATTGATGAGGTCAGCACGTAGGCAAGACAATTTGGTACATACAAAAATATCTGATCATAATCCCTATTCAATACATAGAAGAGATACAAAATAAGGACAATCGACGTGAGACTGCCTAAAGAATTTGAAATTAGGGTATATCATAAATTAGAACTTAAATTATTTCGAAGAACTCAAGTGGCTTTGTAACACACTTCATATATGTATATATTTGTGTACGTTGTCGTTTATATTATTTAACGCGATTCCAAATTTTAAGCATGTATTTGTTAATACGTGTGGCACGCATTTAGAAATTTCATAAATCCTCCGCGCAATTTCATTCTTAAAAATACTTAAATGAAATGAAATTTAAAACAAGTAAAAATGTGTTAAATTGGACCGATAATTGGTTCACTGGGGGATTATGCCATAGCTACCAATTTATATTTTTCGTTTTTGAAAAATGAAAACTCTAAAATTTGTATTTTAAACAATTTTATTTTTTATTTTTTTATATAATTATTGAATATTTTATGTGTATGATCGATTCGACGAAACTTGTGCTTGCTCCTTACAAATATACAACATGATACAAATATGGATTTTGAAGAAAGAGATATAAACGTTACAATTAATAAAAATGTTTTAAAAAAATAAAGGACAACTAGTAATTAATCATCACATAATAGAAATAAATTTAAGAGAAAAAAATGGTATAAGGAAAACTCCACGCACAAACACTCATACATCTAACTTGAAATCGTCAACTTATATAGCCTACATTTGGTTTCGGTTAATGCTGCCAGATAGATTTGATTTTTCACATAAATCGGACATGCGTCATAGACCACATCCTGCACTGGCAACGATTGTACACACAATTTAGAACAGCTATCGTAGATCGATAACATTTTCTTATCCTGTATGTAGGCAGCGACCAGAGTATTCGTGTCTACGGCAATTTGTGTGGAACGCACCATTACCGGGCTACTGGTGTGAGCAAAAAATGTCACATTCAGTTCGAATACTGGAATGCCATCGACTTTTTTCAATTTCCCCAAAATGTGACGGGCCTGTGGAAATCGTTGACAACTGCGGGTTTGTATCAACAGGTTGTTTGTTTCCGCCTCATAATTCATTGATATGAGACGACCCTCCACAGACAATCGAGTGGGATTGGCACCGCCTCCACTTAGGTGTTCATAGAACCACAATGAGTTCAGCTTACATATAATGAAACCGCCACAGGGGAACATGTCACTTTCGGGCACAGCTTCAATCTGTATCACCGGACCACCCTCGGTCTGATAGTCAGCGAGGAACGTTTCCGTATTGCGTATATCGTAAATATATGTAGTGCCCTGTTGTGAGCCTAAATAGAGGTAGTTATTGTTGTCCTTGCATCCGATGGCACATGACCACAAGGGTTTTTCGTCGGGATTGAATGCAGATATTGCTTGCAGTGAGCGTAAGTCGAATAGCTTTGCTTTTGGTTCCATGCTGGCCACAGCCACCATTTGTTCATCCTGCGACAGGCTTATATCCCTGATCATTCGCACTGAGGTATGCAGGAAGGTGGAGGGCTTAAATGTGGGTGTGTCAACAAAACGTATCCCGTAGCCGGGAAACAGTCCGGGAGAACTCTTCTGTGACACAAACAGGGCATGCTGCTGCTCAACATACTTCATGACACGGCAACCGGCTTCCCGACACAGTTCAACATTTTTCTCCATAAACAGACGGTATGTTGCGCCACTTTTGCCACTCTCCCAAGTAGATACACCCCCTTTGCGAATCGTTCGCTTAAGTGCATCATTTTCAGCCTCTAGCATTTTGATTCGTTGTGCCACTTGAGCATGGGAACACTTCAGGGTGGCTAATTCTAATTCTAGATTTTGGTTTTTGCTACGTTCCTGCAGCAACTCATCGCGCATGCGATGTTCCTCGCTGCGATCAATGGCACGCAAACGTTTGGCATACAAATATCGTATATCCTTGGGATGGGCCTTTGTTTTGCACTGGGGGCAGACCTTAAGGCCCGACTGGCGGGCACTTTCCTGTAACCAACGTCGTATACATGACTCACCAAACAGATGGCCACATTTCAGTGAGGACAGTCTATGTTCTCCTGACATTTCCCAATTGTCCAGGCAGATGGGACACGTAAGGCCATCATCTTCGTCGTCATCATCGTCCGCGTTCTTTGTTTTGACTTTTGGTGTACCACTTTTTTCCTCTAACGATAGGCGTTTACGTTTTTTGGCTGGTGATGGTGTATCTAAACTAATAATATCTCCGTCATGTCTTAAAACAGGTGCCGCCGAGGAAAATGAGGGCACTGGAAAAATAAACATGATTGTAGTAATTTTTTAAAATGAGAAATGAAGCTACATTACCTGGTAATCTTGCTTCGGCTGCTTCTGTCGCTACTGTGGAAACACTATCTTCTGTAATTCTAGATATAACTGATGCCGTTTCTGAATCTCCTCCATTTGTTGCATCTGTAATGGTCACCATACTGTAATACCACAAATTTGAAACCGAATTCCAATAAATGTCTTACCCGATTCGGCATCTGTTGTTGATGTTGCTGTAGGAACATTATCCGTCGAACCTGTCTCTGAGCTTTGCTGATCATTTTCACTTGTTGTCCTGGTAATATTTGAAATTTCCGATGTCGTAGCAGATCTTTGACTTGCCGATACATCATCTTCTTCCTCTAGTCCCACGGATGCCGTTGCTATAACCACATCCACATCATCATCGTCGCCATTATCATCATCGTCTAAGAACACATCCTCATCCATTATACGACTGTAACCACTACTGGAGGTGCTATAACTGCTACCACCTTCACTGTGGTTGTTGTTGTTAGTATTGTTATTTACGACATAATTGTGGTCGGTATTCCTTAATCTTGTAAGTATTCTCCGGGTTCTATCGATGGTTGGTGAACTACTACCACTTGCCACATAGTCATGATCATTTTCCATATTTCTGGTTGAACGAAGAGTTCGATTCTTAATATTTCCGTGAACTGGATTGTCCCAGTCTATAATTCGATAGTTTGTGCATTGAGTTGAATTCTTTGTAAGCCAAGTAACTGAATAAACCGAACAAATTGAAAAACGTTCCACATGCTACGAATGGTGGTAGACAGGAGAAAATGCCTGATAAATACCCAGATCGCGACGAAATGGCAAGAGACAGTTATTGTTTACGAATGAAGGCGATGGATAACGGCAATATCAACGCCATGTCAATCAGCTGATTGATTCTCTTTGCAAAATAGGGTTACGAAAATCGATTTCCCCTAATCGGTATATATTAGTTGTGTTCCCAAACTTGCAATAGGGTATGTACTAAATTGTGCTACTTTTTTGTCATTTTTTAGGCAAATATATGGTCTGTTCCCGTACTGCAAGAATCTACTATTTTTTACTCAGATAACACTTTTTTCCTTTATGATATCGAAAAAAATAGTAAAATCGAGTAGATTCTTGCATTACGGGAACAGACCAATAAAGGGCCCCACACACCATAGGACATGTATGTGTAAGAATTTCATGCAGCACGAAAATCAAAATAGTTTTGATTTTGAAAATGAACCCCTTTCAATACGATGAATTTCGTTTATTTTAAAAGTTGTCAGAAAAAAATATTTGAAATAAAAATCATACGTGTGTGTTAAAATAAAATCAATAAAATTTCAATTCAAAACTCCATTTTTGCGATATTAAAAACAATTTTTTGTGATTTTGATTGAATAGAGATTGAAGAGTCTACTAAACACTCTTCAATCACACACGTACACAAGGGTTCATCGGCAGTAGCAGTACGTGGGGGCCATAAGAGAGTCTTCTAATTGCTGCAAAATAAATTTGTTCTAGCCCGAAATAGTAAATCAAACCATGTGTTAACAAGCGGGAGGACAGTCGAAGACAATAGAGTTGTCAAAAAATTAAAAATTTTCTTTGTGACGTAGGTGCCCAATAAGACAAACAAATTATAGATCGACAAATAGTGTTATAGATGACACAATGAATAGGTAATCCATTTAGAGCAGCTGATGTCTTGATTAACTGCAAAGTGCTTAATTTCTACTTGAATTCGATGTGCAATGTTGCCAACCACGTGAAATATTATAAGGAAAAGGTCGTGGCAAAAACAAAGGTTTTTGTTTTGATACATCACCTTATTATTGCATTATGGTTGTACATTAACGGAATTTTTGTTATAGTACATTTAAACAGTACTGGATTTCGTTAACTCTGTGGGATAACATTGTCAATTCCATTGGATATATGTCAAATATATCCTCATTGTTTTGTACTATTCACCACTTCTGGTATACTTACCTGTCATCAGTTGTAAGGTGTGGGTGACTGCTGACAGATTAAGTACATGACAAAATCATCTTTCGTGCATTGTGATGGTACTTCCTCGGCTCGGAAGGGCTCTTATTCGACGCAAACTCTTTTTCACACTGTCACGTACCTCTTCGGATCTGTCATCATCACATCATTAAATTTGACAACCGTTCGAACGTACTTATGCAATAGAGGAAATTTGCATGCATAAAGATATATCATTAACATAGGGTGATGCAGATAAAATTAAAACAATTACAGGGTGGAAAACATAGTAGCTATCAGAACCGGGTAAAAGAAGAATATATTGAAAGAGTTTTTAAATTATATTCTACTTCATTTTAGAAATGGTTTATGAATTGGGAAATTAGAATCATTTAAATGACCTTGCGTGGCGTTGAAGCAACGATATTGATGAGGTCAGCACGTAGGCAAGACAATTTGGTACATACAAAAATATCTGATCATAATCTCTATTCAATATATAGAAGAGATACAAAATAAGGACAATCGACGTGAGACTGCCTAAAAAATTTATCATTTATTAGAACTTAAATTATTTCGAAGAACTCAAGTGGCTTTGTAACACACTTCATATATGTATGTATTTGTGTACGTTGTCGTTTATATTATTTAACGCGATTCCAAATTTTAAGCATGTATTTGTTAATACGTGTGGCACGCATTTAGAAATTTCATAAATCCTCCGCAATTTCATTCTTAAAAATACTTAAATGAAATGAAATTTAAAACAAGTAACAATGTGTTAAGGAACCCCGCCCCATTCTCGATTTGAATTTTTTAAGATTTTCAATGGGCTGGTAAATCAATACCAATGCTTGTTAAGGTTTGTAACTTTGCACATATATAATTGAAGATTTAAAAAAGAAGAAAAATAATTTACAATAAATTGTTGTTATTGTTTTGTTGTTGTTTTTTGTAATTAAAGAAAAGTCCTTATTTTTGATGGCGGCCTTGATAACTCCTCACTGGAACATCGGAATCCGAAAATTCCAACGGTGTTAGAAAGAGTACATGTCTGGCTCTCGTATGAACTAGGATTATTGACTTCGCTCTAAAATTAACAAAATGGTGGACCTTTGAAAAAATATTTTTGGAAAATCGCCGATTTTTGACCAAAAACCAAATTAAAAAATAAGGAAGATCTTCACCGATTGGCTTTATCCTAGTTCATACGAGAGCTATACACTCCCAGAGAAACGATGCAAAATTTGGAACCGATTGGATTATTAGTTTTTGAGTTATCGTGCCCGCCATTCGCAAAAAAATGTTTAGAGAAAAACGCGTTTAAAGTTTGAGAAACCCTTTAGCCGTCACTTGATGCTGACACACTAAATCGGATATATCTTCAACAGTTCTTGAGATTTTCACTTGAAATTTTGTAGAGACATTCTTTAATCAGTGTAGATTCGAATTATATCAACAAAAATGTTGACCCCGAGAATGGGGGGGGTCCCCTTAAATTGGACCGATAATTGGTTCACTGGGGGATTATGCCATAGCTACCAATTTATATTTTTCGTTTTTGAAAAATGAAAACTCTAAAATTTGTATTTTAAACAATTTTATTTTTTATTTTTTTATATAATTATTGAATATTTTATGTGTATGATCGATTCGACGAAACTTATGCTTGCTCCTTACAAATATACAACATGATACAAATATGGATTTTGAAGAAAGAGATATAAACGTTACAATTAATAAAAATGTTTAAAAAAATAAAGGACAACTAGTAATTAATCATCACATAATATAAAGAAATTTAAGAGAAAAAAATGGCATAAGGAAAATTCCACGCACAAACACTCATACATCTAACTTGAAATCGTCAACTTATATAGCCTACATTTGGTTTCGGTTAATGCTGCCAGATAGATTTGATTTTTCACATAGATCGGACATGCGTCATAGACCACATCCTGCACTGGCAACGATTGTACACACAATTTAGAGCAGCTGTCGTAGATCGATAACATTTTCTTATCCTGTATGTAGGCAGCGACCAGAGTATTCGTGTCTACGGCAATTTGTGTGGAACGCACCATTACCGGGCTACTGGTGTGAGCAAAAAATGTCACATTCAGTTCGAATACTGGAATGCCATCGACTTTTTTCAATTTCCCCAAAATGTGACGGGCCTGTGGAAATCGTTGACAACTGCGGGTTTGTATCAACAGGTTGTTTGTTTCCGCCTCATAATTCATTGATATGAGACGACCCTCCACAGACAATCGAGTGGGATTGGCACCGCCTCCACTTAGGTGTTCATAGAACCACAATGAGTTCAGCTTACATATAATGAAACCGCCACAGGGGAACATGTCACTTTCGGGCACAGCTTCAATCTGTATCACCGGACCACCCTCGGTCTGATAGTCAGCGAGGAACGTTTCCGTATTGCGTATATCGTAAATATATGTAGTGTCCTTTTGTGAGCCCAAATAGAGGTAGTTATTGTTGTCCTTGCATCCGATGGCACATGACCACAAGGGTTTTTCGTCGGGATTAAATGCAGATATCGCTTGCAGTGAGCGTAAGTCGAATAGCTTTGCTTTTTTTTCCATGCTGGCCACAGCCACCATTTGTTCATCCTGCGACAGACTTATATCCCTGATCATTCGCACTGAGGTATGCAGGAAGGTGGAGGGCTTAAATGTGGGTGTGTCAACAAAACGTATCCCGTAGCCGGGAAAAAGTCCGGGAGAACTCTTCTGTGACACAAACAGGGCATGCTGCTGCTCGACATATTTCATGACACGACAACCGGCTTCCCGACACAGTTCAACATTTTTCTCCATAAACAGACGGTATGTTGCGCCACTTTTGCCACTCTCAGCCTCTAGCATTTTGATTCGTTGTGCCACTTGAGCATGGGAACACTTCAGGGTGGCTAATTCTAATTCTAGATTTTGGTTTTTGCTACGTTCCTGCAGCAACTCATCGCGCATGCGATGTTCCTCGCTGCGATCAATGGCACGCAAACGTTTGGCATACAAATAGCGTATATCCTTGGGATGGGCCTTTGTTTTGCACTGGGGGCAGACCTTAAGGCCCGACTGGCGGGCACTTTCCTGTAACCAACGTCGTATACATGACTCACCAAACAGATGGCCACATTTCAGTGAGGACAGTCTATGTTCTCCTGACATTTCCCAATTGTCCAGGCAGATGGGACACGTAAGGCCATCATCTTCGTCGTCATCATCGTCCGCGTTCTTTGTTTTGACTTTTGGTGTACCACTTTTTTCCTCTAACGATAGGCGTTTACGTTTTTTGGCTGGTGATGGTGTATCTAAACTAATAATATCTCCGTCATGTCTTAAAACAGGTGCCGCCGAGGAAAATGAGGGCACTGGAAAAATAAACATGATTGTAGTAATTTTTTAAAATGAGAAATGAAGCTACATTACCTGGTAATCTTGCTTCGGCTGCTTCTGTCGCTACTGTGGAAACACTATCTTCTGTAATTCTAGATATAACTGATGCCGTTTCTGAATCTCCTCCATTTGTTGCATCTGTAATGGTCACCATACTGTAATACCACAAATTTGAAACCGAATTCCAAAAAATGTCTTACCCGATTCGGCATCTGTTGTTGA